AGGTATTTATCGAGTTGAGAGCATTCACAATTATAAGCCCAGAGTGTTTTTACAGGGCGTCGATGATATTCTTTAAAATATGCGTGTAAAAGGTGACTTGTTTCATTTCATAATAATCGTGATTGGCATGGTAGTTTGGTTCGTGCTTTTAGTTTTTATCAGAAAACTCGCATTAATTTCAGAGTGCATGGCAAACGTACACAACGTGGTTCGCATCCTTTCTATTCTGTCATTTACTCAGGATGAACCCCGATGTTGCAATTCTGGAGTAATCCATATTTCTTTGAGTAGTAGCTTTCAAAAAGCCAAAAATGTGATCGTTAAGTCGTGTACCTGGTTATTGGGCATGGTTTAGATTGAGACTATCGTGAAAGGCCTTGGGTTTGAACGATGTGCCATGATGTTGGCGACCGTGAAAGGTGTTTAAATTCTTCCTCCACCCACAGTTACTATTAACCGTCGTTTATATTTCGGAAATTGCGAATCATCGTTTTTTCGTTGCAATCAGTGCTACAGATTGCATTTTAACATTGCGGTAATTCACTTCCGCATTGCGTTAAAAAATCATCGTCAATAATCGGGAAATTTCATCATTATGACACATCATTTTGATTGGTTAATGAAAGACATGACCTGTTAGGTCAAAGGAAGTTGTTCCAGGTCAAATCGTGATGAAAAACCTCATGGTGGAAAATTGCTTTGCGTCGAGAGTTTGCCTACGATAGAAAACGTACTGTTTCCTCACAGACCCTACCCATTATTTCACCGTAAATTCAGACGGTATGTAAATCGTATTGTAATAAAATGTGTGTTTTTTATGAACATGTTTGTTTCTTCATTGTAAGTGTCGTGGAAATCAATGACACATTTTTTTTCAAAAATAAGTATTATATTCCCGAGCCAGGCGTGGTGAACGAATAATTTTTTTGGATAATTTTTTGTTGTTAGCAAGATGGTTACAGTGTTTAACTCCAAAACAAAATTATCTTTTCTGAGTTGCTCCTCGAGTATAAGCTCATTCCTTACTTTTCCCTTATGTGTTCACGTGTTCATGCCTCCGGGC